ACGATATACACTGGCGGGGCACCAGTGGACGATGATAGGATAAGAATGACGTCAGGTCAATTAACACATTATGAAAAATTCACTAGATATTTATGACGTTGGTTTTCAGTAGCAACTGCGTGGAAGTCTACCTGAATACACCATTCGGACTGTTCGAGCCTCTAACGGTGCCCTCAGACTCGTATTCGTCAGGCGGGAGTTGTTATGTAATATGGCAACATTTTCTTTCTTCTCACCGCTACATCGGAGACAATACAGTGCTGTGAACAAATTTTGGATTTTATTTAAAATATCACCATATCATCACGCCAGCTTTCCTTCAAAGCACCCACAAAATTGTGCTCAGTTAGACTGGTATTCATATGACTTTTAGAAAGTCTACATCAGTTAATTTAGCTTGCTTTGTAAGCGTAGTTACTTGTTTCTTCAAATTTTATAATTTAGTATTTTGGTTTTAAAACAAAGTACTAAATCCAAATCGATATGTTAAATCGCTAGACCACAAAGGTCGTATATTATTTATAATAGAACAGTAAGTAATATAAAACCGTAACTTACCTTTAAATTTTTCGTTTTTTTGTTACCGATATGAATATACAAACAATGAAATATGTAGAGTATACACGAGAACAAATTTATCGGAAACCACAGAATATAGAATGGGAAATGGCCATGTGCACGTCGATATGCATTGGTCGGTACCACTAACTTTCGATTTGTTTTCGAACCAAATCCACATTCGAGAATAGAAAGTTACGACGCATATTTAAATAAGGAGTATGGGGTCCATTGAAGTCTTCCTGAATTGCAACAACGTATTTTTTTTTCGGATTACTTTAATGCTGTTGTCCGCAGCTGGCCTTTAGAGTTTCAACGGAAGATAGGGGGTGAGCGCAGACGCAGAAGGTCTTATAGAGGGGCTGAAGCCTTCGGAATAGCATCGCATGTACCAGAGCCACGTATTTTTATTTGGACTACTCTAACGCTGTTGGCCGCAGCTGGCCTTAACAGCTTCACCGGACGATAGGGGGCGAGTGCAGATGGTCCAAACACGTGTAAGGACTTATGGAGGGGCTGAAGGCTAACTTCTACCTAACTGAACCTACGTAATGACGTGTTATAATTCGATTAGAGCCGACTATTACTACTTGGCTGTAAGCTTGTTTACCATTTCAGTTAAATATTAAAAAAATCACTTAAATTTTCTCCAAGTCATATTATGTACCTAGTGTTTATAAAGAAAACTGTATTATATTCATCCATTCATAATTTAAGAGCCACGCTCTTATCGGCGGAGCTCTTACTTTATATCTATATAAACAAATAAAATTAAGTCTGTTACAATAAGACTTTGAAATGAACAAATTTTCATTAAATACATAAGAAAGTATATACGTCCTTATTTTTTTTTGTCTGTATATCTGTTTGTTCTAGCTGCTTTTCAATTTTAAAAAGAACATAACTTTTAATTTTAGAAGAACAAGAAACAAGAAGGATTTTAGTAGCCTTAAATAATTATTGTAACGTCAAAACAAGTTGTTTAGTAATATGCTTAGTTTTCATATAAATTAATATATGTACCTAACAGTTGTATATCTTTATTTCTTTATATTTTTCTGTGACAACAAGAAAATGTCTTAATAAAAAAAAATCTTTCACACATACTGCATTCTACGCAAGTAGTAATGCCGTGGTCATATCGCATCGCGTACAACAATAATCCTAATATCTATAACCATTGAGTTCACTCTAAAACACCGACCGTTTGAATTTCACACATGAAAAATTCGTGAAATACGTACGAACCCACGCAGCAGTGAAAATAATTAATAACCAGCAAATCCATTACCGCTGAGTGCTATGAAACTGCTATGTTAACAGTACAATCCACAAATAATTGACAATCAAAACGTTATACCTACATTCACACTATTTATTCAGAAGGCCTCGGTAGTCTAGCGGTTTAGTACACCGCCTCACTTCCGAATGATCGCGGGTTCGATTCCTCGCACGGCGCAAAAATTTGTATTCGTAACTATTATTGTTTGTGTCGTTCTGGGTGTTTTCTAGATGTAATATGTATGTATTTACGAAAAAAATATTTATATATTTACTAAAGCTTGTGTTATGGGTAATAGCCCATAAGACAAGCTTTAGGTGGCTTAATTTGGGACTAGATGGCGCTGTGTGAATTGTCCTGAGTTTTTTTTATTACATTATATTATTATTAATTTGTATTCCTTCCTTTATCTAATTTTTATCTACCAAGAAGCAATGGTATTTCGGATCCGATACGATATTTTTTTATTACATGATTACGAAATGGGGAACCCGCCTGCACTAACAGTTTATGCTGGCGGGACACCAGTGAAGGATTATAGGATAAGCATCAAGTCAGATCAGTTAGTTAGCCCATCGTGACAAATTCACTAGAAACTTATCACGATTATTTCCAGGGAAGGTACTCAACTTCGCTTGGTATATCTACTGCTAGCGGTGGAGTAATTTCAAGAAAAGAGAGAAGAGAGAGAAAAGAAAGAGAGAGAGAGAAAACAATGAAATTCTTATATGGCGATCAATGCACTTGCAATTTCCTAATATCGCAGATGGTCATAGGCAACGGTAATCACTTACAATCAGAGGAGCCGCAAGTTATTTTGTAGAAAAGAAAGTACACAGATAAGATAATGTAGTTCTAACCAGAGGTAGACAGAAGTCGTCTGCGTGGGTACAGAAGTGTCACCTATTTCAGTCGCCAAGCAGCTTGCTTTGTAAGCTATGTTTCGATCATAGGTCGATAGGATAGGATCATTACAAGATAAAATACATGATAAATATAATTAGTAAACAAAATATACCTAGAAAGAAACTGTTTGGTAGATAAAAATTAGATAAAAAGAGTTTTTGGTGCGAAAATTTGTTATTTTTTGATGTTTGGAGAATATGATTTAAACAGACCTATTAATAACTAAAAAAAATCATCTTTATATATTATAAAACATAGCCTTCGCAGCTGTCTGTTCGCATGTCTTAAATTACGCAACAGATTTTAATAAAGTGAATTTAATAGGAAGGTTTATATATATAATACATGCGAATATAGTATAGCATAAGCCGAGAATTTCAAAGATCTCTAATGCATGCGTGCGAAGCCGGAATGGATCGCTAGTGAAGTATAATTTTGAAATGTTTGGTAATTGTTACCACTTTCTATAATTCCGTTACATTTCGTGGCCATTTAAAGGAGTATATAAAAAAGCATAACCTCAAAAAAATGCTAAGTAATTAATATAAAGATATGTTAGGGAATGGTAAAATACTGCAAACATAGTAGGTACAGCAGATTCCGTGCGAAGGAATTCGCGCGTAGTTCCCAGTTGCTCCGGGCGTGCGCTTCAAAGAGCTGCTTGATCGCGATAACTACCGCCAATGGTTCGCTGGACGGTCTTATGCAATACTTAGCCATTTCGTATTACATTCACATAAATACTTGCTATTTCATTTATACCCGGTTACTCAAAAATTACCATGTCACTGAAAAGCTTTATCGAAGAAAAAAATGAAGAAATTTACACTTTACCATATATAGATAGATAAAACTTTTATTTGCATTAAATGACACATACACAAGGTTTTAAGTCACAGGGACTTAAAAAAGTAAAAACTATTACAAATGGTGCTCTGTCTATTGACTAAGGTTATTTAGGTATTTATTAAGTTTTATGGAACTTATTCTATTTGATATGACCGATAAAAAATATTTTATTTACCGGGTTTAACAGTGATCATAGCGGTTGAAATACTACCGAAATATCAGGAACTCAATAAAAGTAAAACGTGGTAAGATCTCGTGATTATTACTAATTATACGTATAAATAATGACCGCTAAAAATTTAAATCAGTATATAAATAAGTATTTAAATGGTTCTCTCATCCTAACCTATTAAATAACCTTGGACAATTAACACATCGCCATATAGTGTCACTACAAGCAGAGCTTGTGTTATGGCTACTAAACAACTGACATAAATATTGAAATACTTTTTTTTAAACATACATAGAAGACACCCAAACCGATACAAGCAATCATACTCATGAATACAAATGTTTACACGGTGCGAGGAATTCAACTGCGACCATCGGAAGTAAAGCGGTATGCTAAACTACTAGTCCACCGAGGCCGTCTCATTTATCTTTCATAATCAATTTCGTATCAAACTTTACATAATAGTAGTACAAACTCTGCCAGTTTTGATAATGTGAGAATTGTTAACTATTTAATTATTTTATTAGTAGGTTCGTGCTTCATCCTGCATATGCTCGTTACATCCAGTGACCGCCCTCGTAGCGGCCGGCGGCTAAATCTTCACATGTCCTACAATACTCGGTCAATGGAACCTCTCTGTTCTAATCGCGAAAGTAGCTCCTTATTTACTTCGTCCTTTACTATCATGCTCTTGTACACGTGAATGTGAAGAGATTTCTTAGTGTGATTACGGACTTTTCTAATAATTAAATGGTTGTTCTATTAAATTATACCTATGGTGGTAAAAAAAAAAATTAAATTTCAAGAACGTTAAGCTTCTAATTCAAAGACTAATATATTATGTTAGTGTGTATTAACATTAAGTAGCATTTTTTATACCATGTCCATCCGATGATATATGGTTACCATAGCCTATAGAGCCTGAAACATCAAGGGTCAATCCTGGACAATTAACATACCACTATCTAGTCTCACTGTAAGCATACCTTGTGTTATGGGTGCTAGATCATTGATATAAATACTTATATTTGTAAATAAATACATAATGTATATAGAAAACACCACCAACAAATAACCATACTCGTGAACAAATGTTTGCGCCGTGCGAGGATTCGAACCCGCGACCATCGGAAGTAAAGCGGTGTGCTACACCAATAGACCACCGAGGTTGTCATGTCATGTCAATATATCTAAAGTGTATTTAGTCGGAAGTAAAGAAAATCTCTGAAATAATATTTTTTTAATAATTTTTTATTATTTAGTTTATTACAACATATGATACCACCAATAAAGAAGCGTACTTCAAACCAAATATCCAAATCTTCTAGCTTGGAATATGAGTTCTACTATTGAATCCATGGTTTCCTCGCTATTTGGCAAGATCTGATCTGCTGGCAAATTGAACCCATACTGTCCTTTGTCCCGAAATTCGTAACAGTATACTAGAGGTACCTTTATCACTTCCTTCACCCAGTCGACACTACCACCTGTGGCCAAGTCTGCAAAAAATAGAATAGAATAGAAAATCCTATATTCAAATAAACATAAAACTTAAGCATTTTGTACAATCATACTATTTTTTAACGTACCGCATATTCGGAAAGCTGTCTCATAATAAGAAGAACGAGAAAGAAACTTGCGTGTTGCTCTTTTAAATAAGTTGTAACTTTACATTTTTAAGTTGAAATATGTGAATACAAACTACCAATTAGCTGAAAGGGACCCACCCTTACACACATCAGTACACAGTGACGCGGTGACGATGCTCTACAGTGGTGGATAAGATATGCATTTTAATTTAGTATTTGTTTTTCTATCATTCTTTTTTAACGTACCTGATGATTTTATCTCTAATTTAATGCATTGACTCATTTCTATTTGTTTTGATATAATAATTTATATGCTGCTGTCAGCATCGTAATTGCTGTATTGTGATATCTAGTGTAATAAATGTTATTCTATTCTATTATTTTGACTCAAATTAAATAATATTATTCATTAGACTTCAAATATTAAATAAACAATAAGATTAAATAAAATATAACAAATATATTATATTAATGGTATATGTTTAGGTAGACTGTGATGGAAGTTGTCTGCGTGGGTATCTCAGTCTCAGCCGTGCGCGCTCAACGTGCGCCGTGTGTTTCGGTCATAAGGTGAGATTAGGCAGTGAAATAACAGGATAAGTGACATGACATTTTAATCTTCCGGAATGGCAAGGTGTGAGTAGGTGTATCCCGTATTTCCCGGGACGTCCCGTATTTTAGGCTTGGTATAAAATGTCCCGGCGGGACTGACTCTACCCCGTATTCGAATCATGCTCCGTTTTTTTATTATTAAATCGATCGATCTACACTAGACAATTTGTTCTGGGTAATAAAACTAAATTCCCGTATTTTTTGCCTATTTTTTTTGTCGCACTACTTTAATGCTGTTGGCCGCAGCTGGCCTTTACGGCTTCACCGGTCGTTAGAGGGCGAGTGCAGATGGCACTCCAAACCCGCGGAAGGACTTATGGAGCGGCTGAAGGCCAACTCCTGCCTGATGGATACGACTTTAGTTTGAGGGCACCACTAGGGTTTCGAACCTCGGCTCAGGCCGTCGTAATTTCGATCCCCGTTTGAATTGGACGGGGGATCGATCAGAGAGGCGCCCGGGGGCGCCGGTATGGAGCGATAAGAGCGATTCGACAGGAAGTCTCGTACAATGAGTACTAGCCTGTCGGGGACACCTAACTGATGAAACTTGTAAATCAAGCCGTTGTGCCAGACTTTATCGAAGGTCTTAGGCCACATCGAAAAATAGAACGCCTGTACCGCCTTTGGTGGACTTGGTGGCGAAGTACAGGATGTTTTTGTGAATGTGCTCCATGATGCGGTACACTTGATGGACACATGAGTGTTTGGCTCGGTAGCCAAACTGCTCATTGATGAGCAGGCCTTTGGAGTATATAAACTCCTTTAGGCGGGCGAGGAGGAGTTGGTCGTACAGCTCGCCTAAAGCCTTGAGGAGGCTGATAGGACGATAACGGGACGAATCTGATTTATTTTTGCCGTGCTTGGGGATTCAAATGACCACGGCTCCTTTCCAGCTGTCTGGAAATATGGCGTTGGACAGCGCCGCGTTAAAGATGGCGACGAGTAATACTAAAAGTTGGGAGGGCAGACTTTTTTTTTTTTGACTAGCCTATTCGATATGTCGTCTGAGCCGGGTAAGGCCTATTTAAGGGTTTGCCCTTTATAGGCTGAAAAAAAATCTGGCAACTCTAGTGAATATTATCACGGGTGTCACATGATAACGTGATGTCAGTGGTACTCTTAGTGTGTATAGAAGATATATATATCTTACCAGTTACCATCAGTTCAAAAAATATAATACATCTGTTTATTTTCCTGAGTGACTCATTGGTTATTTTTATAATGTAAAAAAATTCAGTATCCGCTTAAGAAGATATCTGTTAATTTTAATTATGAATTTAAAATAATGTGTAACCAATACTACTGAAAATTGCTACAAATAATTTCCCTTTAAGTTAAATACTTGTAATTTACAGGCGAAGTCGATGAAATACAACTAGTATTGTACCATGCTATGTAATTATTATCATTTTAGATACACATTCTGATAATAATACTATAGTTATCCACTTATACAAACTAAGGATGACGTCATCAATGATTAATTGCGATAAATTTTGTACCATATGATACTGTATCTATCTACATTGATAAGTAACATTCCATTTCACAACTAAAAATGAAACTCTATCAAACACTCATGATATTCAAGTATTACTTTGTTGAAGCATTACATAGTATAAAACAAAGTTGTGGTCGCTGTCTGTCCGTCCTTATATATGCTTAATCTTTAAAACTACGCAACGGATTTTGAAGAGGTTTACTTAACAGATAAGGTGATTCAAGAGGAAGGTTAATATATAAAATACATGGGTGTACATGTGCGAATCCGTGGTGGGTAGCTAGTAGGTTATAAATACTGAAGTGTCTCTATCTATATGTTACTTTTATTATTAAACAGAGTGATATTTCTTCTTTTCTTATTAATTTTCCTTTAAATTATGTATTTAATTTCGATTTCATTTGGACCCATAATTGTGTAAAAACTAAAATTTTGTACAAAATAAAATATACTTACAAATAGCTTCAGCTATATTTCCTGTAGTATACATTGTTCCATATCTAGCTGATAACGCCCCCATAGCTCTCCTACCGATGTTTACCTAAAATAGTACGGTTTATGAAAGAAAAATGTAAAGAAAGATAAAAACCAGAAATAATAAAGAGACAACTAAGGTTTGATCCCTATATCCCCGTCATGGTTACCCTTACTGCGTCATGACTTCCCTGAGCAGGGTAACCATGACGGGGCGTCCCCATATCCGAGCCCCGTAATTCTCATCATCATGTCCTTGTTTGTCATGGATCTCCTCTGTGGGACTTTATGACGAAGGCCCACGTGTCAATATTGTTGAGCGACACATTTGCTGTCCACTAGATTGCGGACTGGAAATCCCATGCTCGGCGGATCTTAAGAATTGAGTGGAGAGAGAGACTGGCGAAACCATCGGCCCTAACGTTAGCTATCTGTACATATTATTTTAGAATTTACAAAAAATCCCAGTTGTCTATTACCCATAATACAAGCTCAGCTTCTGTGACTAGATTGCGCTGTGTGAATTGTCCTAAGATATTATTCTTATTATCTAGTACAGGATAAATCTTACCGCGTCATTGTAGTTCGCCAGTGGTTCCGTCGTGTTACCAAATGGGATCAGCAACAATTGACTGAATGAATGGAAGGAGAGATAGAGTTCGATGCGGTTGCCCAACTCTTCAATATATGTGGATAAAGTTCTGGATTCGACCTCTGAGAACGGTCCGGGTCCAGCGTACGTTTGTGTGCTTGGATTTAAACTGGCCCCGTGCACTGTGAATGAAAAAAAAAGATTTTTGTATATATTATTTGATATAGAAAAATGTTACATTAACAATCTTATTCATTCTATTCTTTTCGACGGTGGTGTAGCGGTCTATCACACCGCTTTACTTCCAATGGTCGAGGGTTCGATTCCTCGCACGGTGCAAACCTTTGTATTCATGAGTATGATTGTTTGTATCGGTATACCTATATATATATCGGTGTGTATACTCGTACATACTTTAGTTCATCTTTTCATAAAGACTAAACTTATATAGTTGATTTGCCTAGAAATGAAATAATACTAGATAAAAATTACACCTTGCCTTATGATTAACGCGACGGTTGACTGGTAGAGAATACCGCCAAGCATTAAGCCCGTAATGTGTACAATTTTGTGTGTAAAAAAATAAATAAATATAAATAATTAAACACTCACTTAGCCAATTATTATTCCAATTTCTATTTAAATCCACACCATATGCGTTAGCATTAATCGGACGTCTATTCTTACGCCACATTCTATCCTGAAAAATGAGCATATTTCATTGTGAATTGTTTTTTATTAGATAAAAAGGCAATCAACAATAAATACATATTATCCTAATCTTAATTAATAGTAAAAATAATAGTCGAATGTGTCAAGACTGAAAAATTATTTACAAATTACAACTTTGTGGAAATGATGCGGGTATGTTGCACACTGTCCTTATTTCTCTTGGGGAAATCCGTCATGGAGACCCGCCCGCTTCAGGGGTACTGCCGGACTCCTACCGGCTAAATTCCCAAGGTGTACCGCTACCGCTTATTGCCGGAGCTACGGGTGTGCGCGAGCATTCATCCGCAGCTCCAAAGGTGAGGACCCATTTCAATAGGCTGGTCAATACACTTCTTCAGGAGAAGTAGCGAGGGTACATGCGCGCACCTTCTCAGGTCTGCGATGTCGACGGGGAAGCAGCCGCCCCCACGACCGCAGCCCTTGGCCGTTGCGGAGGGAGGAACGGAGTTCTGAGGCCGCGAGGTTGCTGTATGATTATTAGGAGTAGATTTTAAGTGGACTTTAGTTTTCCTGTTTTTTTATTTTATTTTGTGGGTTAATTAAGTGTGTATTTGTTTATTTTAAGGATAAAGATACAATGGGACTGACGTACCAAAAATGTTCCTAAATTAATAAAGATTAAAAAAAAATAGTCTACGTGTACTAATTTCTTTAAATAATATAAATTCCATATGAAAATGCATATACGCAAATCAAACGTTCTAGGATGTGTGATATATTTATTTATACATGAAATTCGACCTAGAAACTAGAAACTTTGACATCAGTTTCATAAGTATCTAATAAGAAAAGTTTTTGGAAGAACTCCTGGGACAGAAGGTTTAGGATTTGGCATAAACAATGACATAGATTTTCTTTTTAGAAAAATAAAGAATGTAATAGAAATATTTTTATTCTACTATCACATTCGGAAACCAAACGGTCAGTATATGTATATCACGGTAAAAATTCTGAATTTAAACCTCCCTATATACCGCATTATTTTAACGCTTACTACAGAATAACAATATATATATATATATATATAATTTATGAAAAATAATTAATAAGTCATTCAATAATTTCCTTTTCGACACTGGCCTCCTAATAATGCTTCATATTGATTTTTATACTATTGCCTTCAATATTATTATGTAGAGAAAGTTTGATTTTTTTATTTCTCTCTTATGTATAGATTTATTACATATAAGTATAGACTTATAAGGACGTGATGAATTTCAAATATTCAGAATATTAAACATATATAGTTCTCGATAAAAGTTTTTCGTCTCATTAAATTTCTATATCAACTGAACCGATTTGGCTAATTTGTTGGTTTTGAAATATTTTAAAAGTCCAAGTGAGATCTAAAAGATGTTTGTAATTTTGCGACTAAACTTATTTAGAGAAATTTTAATATAGTTTTTATATATATCTAGGTATATGTATATATATACACGTGAATACAAGTTTGGTTGTCATTAACAGACTGCTATATCTGTATATATGTAGTATATGATAGCCTCGATAGTCTAGTGGTTTAGCACACCGCTTTACTATTATTTGGTCGCGGGTTCGATTCCTTGCACGGTACAAACATATATGTATAACTATGTATAATATGTATTTATTTACAAAAAAAAATGTATCCATGCATTTATATCAGTTATTTAGTACCACAAGCTCTGCTTAGCTTGGGACTAGATGGCGCTGTGTGAATTGTCCTGAGATATTAATATTATTATTGGAGTACCACCGGCGCTGTTCTGACTAAAGTAGATGTGGTTGGTGCTTACTTTGTTTCCAGGTTACAAATAGAATAAAGATTATATACAAAGTTAATTTATAGATAGCAATATTACATACCCTAGTGAACGTATGTAAGTATCCATCAGGGTTGGTCACTGGGAAAATATACCAATCGTAATCACGAGCAATTTGTTGAATTTCAGTGTCGTTACTCGTCAATAACTGGTTAATGATATAACATGTGGTCGCCACTGTAATCCATTCCCTCGCATGTATACCACTTTCAATAAATATACCTTTTCTACCAGAACCGTGAGAGATTCTTAAACCTTTAATATCTCGACCTTCGTATGTCTCTCCTCCTATGATGACAGATACTATGTTTGGATACAAAGACGCCAAGTCATCTATCCACACGTAAATATCAGTAAGTCCATAATAGGAGTTCCATGACATTGTACTAGAACTTCTTCCTGTGTAGTTCTTAACTGATTCCTTGTCTATTGCCCTGTAAAATATTTAATGTCATTGAAACGAGCATGTAAGGAGTAGTTTCGGAGTGATACCTAAAACTTAAGGAATATGGATTTAGGTGGTATGGACGTATTCTGCGTAACGTTGAAAACCACGTTGTGATAAAATGATATTATGATAATAATAATCTCAGGACAATTCACACAGCGCCATCTAGACCCAAGTTAAGCTAGCTAAAGCTTGTGTTATGGTTACTAGAAAAATAATTGATATATTTTTTTGGTAAATACATATAATATTACATAGACTGTACATAGAAAACATCCAAACCCATATAATCGTATAGGTCTAGGTGGTTTCTATCTATCTATCAGTTACCTAGTAATAACACAAGCTCTGCTTAGTTTGGGACTAGATGGCGCTGTGTGAATTGTCCTGATATAATTAATATTATTACAAAATTAATAACATTTTATACGTGATGTTACTATTATATAGTGTTACTGGCAGCATGGATTATTTAGCTTTTTTTTAACATATTTTGGATACGATATGATTTCATACTAACACATTTAACGTACACAGAAAAAGAAAATTGAATTGACTAAAAACAGAAAAAAACACTTACTCTTGAATATTTGATACTGGTATTTCATAATTTATCCCGTGGCTACTCAGAAAATTCTTTAACTCGTCCTTTTCCTTCGGACCTGCCATGACTGAGACAAAATCAACAGCCGCTCTGGGACTGGTCCAGAAATCGTACCGCAGGTCATTTTGCTGAAGTTCTTCTAACACTTTGAAATCAGATGGATTTTTCGGCAAGATTTTAAATAAACTATAATCATCATATCTTACTTTCTGGCATAATGTGAAAGAAGATAGAATTAAAAATATAAACAGAGTAATATATTTTAACATGATAATGCTTCTGTACGTTTGGAATTTTAATAATCAGAGTGCCAATTATGTGGTATTCATTATCGTTAACTGTTATCAAACATAACTTATAACGTTAATCTGATAAGTAATTATTATAATCGATAAAGTTTTTTTTTTATCGTCTTGTGTTTGTTTGTTTGTAACATGTTATTATATAGTAAATACTTAAATATTTATTATAGAAGGAAAGAGGGGGAGAGGAAGACCAAGGTGCAGGTACATCAAACAAATTAAAGACAGAATTGGAGTCGTTAAGGTTTAAAGAGTATGAAGGAAGATTTTTTTTATTTCTTTTTAAATTTAGGGACTTTTGTACCATCTAAGTACATGTTAGTCCCATTGTACCCTAAAACCAATCACTCCATTACCTCACCAGTGAACAAATTGCCTTAGCCGCACCGCCCGATGATGGAAGATCGTGGAAAGTGGCAAGAGCTCCACCGACAAGAGCGTTGCTCTTAAATTATAAATGATACAACTTTAGTATTTAACGAGTTTATAGGCAGATTAATTCCAAAATCAAATTAGATATCCCAATGAGATTTTTTAGAATCAACCCTTAAATAATCGAGACAATTTGTGGAATAGGGATAGTTGTATCAAAATAACTGATTATTGTTACATTACATGTTTTTGGAGATATTAGAATGGAATTTACAAAGAGTATGTTTTACGTATGGGTCTCTTGGAATTTTATTTTAAAATCTTTATCTGACCTTGTAAATAGAAAACCTTGTAATTAGAATTGTATATTCAGAAAGATACTAAAAACGTCTTACATTGTTTCATTGGTTTTGTTGACATTGTGAGCCCTATACCAAATATGTACATATTACCTTTATAATTTATATAGACAATATTTATTTACACTACGGATTAAAAACACTACAAAGTCAACACATAGGCTAAAGAAATCTTAGAAAACAGTATATTTATTTATTGTTTTGGGTATGAAGGGTAATAAAAATGCTGCACCTACTATTGTTAATTAATTTATTAATAATATAATATGTAGCATAATATACATATATAATAGTCATACAAAAATATTTAATGTACACATTCCGATGCTACTGTAAAATTGAATAATGATACGATGATACGATACGATTAAGTGCCCTAAATGTCCTACATGTATATTTTTTTTTCTTATTTTTTATTCAAATTAATAGTATTAAATGAAACAACTTTCCTTAATCGAAGTATACTATGTATATAAACTAAGGTATCTTAATAAATTTAATATGATATATATATTTGAGTTTAGAATTTGTCATTTCCAACAAACAAATTTTTTCTTCATCATGATAAAATTTATGCGAAATTTTTTTGCATAACAAACTCCCATTAACTGAAATGAACTTTAATACTTCGATCTGGTTTAATAAATAATGTCCTATGCATAATAATCATTTCAGCCAGGAAGACATCCACTGCTGAACAAAGGCCTCCCTCAAAAATCGCCGTACGACGCCGATCGGTCGTACGTTGCTCGCATCCCACTCTTTACAGCGATCTTGACCAGATCGTCGCGTCGATCCACCTTGTCGGATGTCTTCCCACGCTGTGTCTTCCGGTCCGCGGTCGCCACTCCAGGTCTTTACTGTCCCAACGGCCATCTGTTCTACGAGCTATGTGCCCTGCCCATTGCCACTTCAGGTTCGCAATTCTTCGGGTTACGTCGGTCACTCTGGTTCTTCTGCGGATCTCCTCATTGCTGTTACAATCACGCAGAAAAACTCTAAGCATAGCCCTCTCCATCGCTCTCTGAGTGACTCTGACCTTATTTATGAGGCCCATATAAGCACCTATGCATAATGGGCGATAAATAAAACGGTAAGTGCGTAAATAATAGTTTAATTTAAATTTACATGTTTCGTATATTAACCTTGGTGATAATAAATAATTAATCTATGCCTTATCATATAATAATAAGTATTTCGTTTAATGATAAGTTCATATTCAAATAATAATATACTACTTAATCGGTAATATAGGCGAGTTTTATTGGAACAATAAATATTTTTATCTTCTTTATTATTTTTTTCTATAAAAAGGAACTATTTCTATGGTTGTTTCTGTTGATGAATTCAATTTCAGTTTCAGATAATTTCATCGCTTACGTCATCTTCATATCATCATCATCTCATCGCTTCAGTAGGATCTTAAATAACTAATCAAATTCTAAAATGATAAATATAAATAAATCTGAAATGTGGCCTGACAAAGTATCTTGAGAGAGCGAGACGAACTTCTTAGCATTCCATGGATTGCTAACAAGTCCCGTACTTGTACCAATCCATGGAATCCAGGTTCATCGTGTTGCAGAGAGGAAAACTCCGAGCAGTTCACGGGTGTAGGTTTAAGTGTCCCTTTGCCGACGTATATTAACACTCACTTTCACTGCCCAGCCAAATTATTTTTTTTTATTTATTAATAATGGGATTGCGCTTAGTCTTACCTCATCTGATGGTAAATGATAGCAAGACGAAGGATGTAGCGCGCTTACCCAGAAGATATCTATTCACCATAGACTTGAAGAATCTGGTAGAAGCCTGCCAATACAGCTTTCCATACACGTTCTAGATAGAATCCACTGCGGTTCTAAACAGGTCAAGATCTTTTAAGATTATAGAGAGACTAGCTTTTGCCCGCGGCTTCGCTCGCGTTAATTTAGCTCCTTAGGGGTGGAATTTATCAAAATCCTTTCTTAGAGGATGCCTTCGTCATAGTAACTTTATGCATGCAAAGTCTCAGCCCGATCAGTTTAAAATTGACAAAGTTTCAAACAAATTTTCATCCTCTATTTTATCCCTTTGGGGGTAGAATTAATCAAAATCCTTCCTTAGCGGATGCCTGCGTCATAACATCTACCTGCATGCCAAATTTCAGCCCGATCCGTCCAGTGGTTTGGACTGTGAGTTGATAGATCACTACGTCAGTACTATAACTATCGATAACTGATTTCTATACATGCATAGTTTTTATCATAATTACTATAGAATTTCATTAAATTATATAATTATTTATTATACTAAAATGTAGTCAAGAGTGTATATAATATAAGTATATATAATACTTAGATTTAACTGCTCTCTAGGTCCCACTTTACCTCATTTTAATTAGTTATTTTACGTTAATTAGTTATAATATTTATTTTTATTGCGTGGTTGGTATATTTGTTTACCATGGTACAATGAGGTCAATTATTATGATATTATGTAATAGTTTTTAGTTTGAATCAAGTACCAAAATAAACGAGCGATTCTTCATTTCATCCTACGATCAGTTGCCATTTGATACGATTTAGATATTATGACTTTTATAACGTTATTTCACTACAATATCTCACCATTCAGCCATAACTAAGCAATCTTCTTGGCATCTAAGGTAAGGTTAGGTGAGACTGAGGTATTCACTTAAACAACTTCGAACAAAGTATACGTCAATGAAACGAAATCTTTACAGCTACATAAGGTACATATCATAGAACAATAAAAACCATAAAATAGATTATCTCAACGAAATTTATTAATGAAAATGATAAATTTTTCTACACTAATACTATAAAAGAGAAAGATTTCATCTTTTTTTATGTTTATTTCTTCTTCTGTAATTAACAAATTGGAAGTACTTGATGATTATCAGGGTAACATGTTCCGTTTCACGCAACAGTGTCACGAAGGTACGATTATTATTCTGTATATTTTCTTAACATATATGTATGTGTATATATGTCTGTTTGTATGTTTGTGTATTAAGGTTTCAAGTAAACACTCTGGAAGACTTAGGAACAGAATATGTTATTCAATGTGGGTAAACAGCTGATGAAGTCTTTGAAAAATACCCGCCAAAAGGTTAAATTAGTATTTTAACTTATTAAATGTAAACACGCCATGTGTAATTGTTAATTAATTTATTAATTAAATTAATAAATGGGTTTGTACAAAAGTTTTGTTTCGCTTTGTGGTCTGATCATCGTCAGTAGGTATAATCTTCAAATGTTTACATGTACGACGTTGCACTAGTACTAAAAAATATATAGTAATTCCAGAACATTCTAGATCACGTTAATAAATCTTGCTTCTCGGAGTATGGCCATTACAGAGTCATAGGTTTCTTCACATGCTGGTGTTATTAGGTTAGCCTGTAGGACGTGAGTATTCCTTAGAGCGTATGTTGCCACTATTGGGGCTTTAAAATTATCTTTCACCCAACCTCCAATATTTCCAGTAAAACTGTCTGCAAAGGATAAAAGTGATAAAATATATGTAGTTGAAATAATAACTCTAGGCAACAAAATAACACTGGGGGAAAGGAATTGTTAGTAAAGTGAGCTGATGACCCCATTGCTAGCATTAGAGTAGTCCGAAAAAAAAAACACTATACCTCCACATAGTTCCTGTCGTGATAAATTCCTGTTGAATTCAAAACGATGCTCATACTCATTATATCATTCACCAGCGTAAACCGTTAGAGCAGGTGAGACCATTATCAACCATAAAAAAATCTGCATAGGACTAATACAACGTATGTACAAAAAAAAAAAAATATTTATAGTGTGATACAACAGTGATCCTAGTACAAGTTCTACTTAGCTGACTGAAACCGCACTGTACTTGAAAAGATTGGATATGAGAATAAACCTGTCGATAGTAAAGTAGTTTGTACGTATATATATCTTTTGAAACACACACGTGTTTTTTTGATTAACGAGAGTAGTGGGTTAAAAGATGGCGGCCAATGAACAGTGACTCGGACAAAAAAGGCATTATACGAGCAGCCCGCGAACGAAACGGACGAGCTGTGCGCTGATTGATAAGTATAAAAAAAACTTTTATAATTAGTAATTACAGAGCATGGGGACATGACACCGTAGTCTTCCGCAATGCATGGACAATACCATAGTCATCACATGACATGATTACGGTGGTGCTTTTCATAAGCGACTAATGCCATTTGTCAATGAGTAGACCGTCAGCTTATTACAGCTCTAAAAAGAGGTATTGCTGTCTATAACATATTGCTTTAGACCGCCTTTTGTTTAGCACATTTATGTAAAGTTTTCTTTTTGGAAATATTATATGTGCGCTATAAATAGGTCATCATTATCTGCTTCTTCCTTATCCCATTTATTTGGGGTCGGCGTAACATGTTTTTCTTTTACATTCACCCCTGTTCGCAGTCTCCTTGTTATTTACTCCCTTTCTAACCATGTCATCTTTCATACAGTCTATTCATCTCTTTTTCGGGCTTCCTCTGCCCTTATAATCATCCACACTCATATGTAATACCTTCCTTAGAATAATATCTAAACCAACCTATTATTATTTACACGGACATAAGCATAAAAAATACGTACTGGCAAAATCAGTCGATAACCCAGCCAAATATTGAGTGTTATATCTCACTGACAGTGAACCCAGCGATCTCCTTCCAATTACTATCTGGAAAATTTGTAATTTAAATAAAAAAATAGCGTCAATGTGGACCACAATTCAGCATAATGCTGGAAACATAGTTTACAGAGCTGATTTTCAGTTTCAGTTTCGTAATTTCAATTTTATATCATGATATAAACTTTATTCAGTGTTGTTTAAAGTATTTGGGATATTTACCATAATTGTTGTAGTATTTTTGTGAGTACCGATATTTCGACACTGTTACAAGTATCCACTTATCGGTCATTGGATCCATCTCCAAAATTCTTGTAAAAACGTCGAGAATCATAGGTTACTTTAATCATAGAGACACAGGTTACTTTTTAATGCGAAAAAGGGTTATAAAGGTTGAAAGAGGAAATGTAAGGTTGTGTAGAAATATCATCATTTTTAAAGGTAGAAGCTTGAATTATGTTTTTGGCTATTAATTGAATATAAATGAAGAAACATGGGTTCTAAGGCTTAAAAGGGGAGTTGAAGCGTTGCATGGAAGTATCGTCATTTTTAAAGCTATATGTCTGTATCTTATTTTTAAGGCTGTTGATTTATGTATACATGAAGAAAAAGAATTATAATGAAAGAGAGATGAAAAATTGTATGGAAGTATCGTCACTTCAAAGCTAGAAACTTGAAACATGTTTTTTAGGCTTTTATTTGAGTTGTATAGAATTCTGAATGGAAATTTTCATTATTGAAACATTTTTATTGGGTTAGATTACTAAATACTTTTTCACTTTTTTGTGAAGGATATTTTACGCGGATGAAGACGCGGGTACAACTTGTTCTTTATAAATTACTAGCTGTGCCCGTGGTTTCACCCACATGAAATTTATAGGCTATGTGTTATTCTGATATAGCTATATTACTGTAAAGTGTCATCAAAATCCGTTCAGTAGTTTTTGCGTGAAAGAGTCACAAATATCTCTAATAAATATCTATCTATCCATATTTACAAACTCTCGCGTTTATTATTCTATAAAAAAAATGCTGTCTTACCATTTGGTTATAATTATCCCCAAATGGCAATAATAACCTCTGTCCAAATGTTCTAAATGATAGCAATCCAGACATGTTTTGAGCTAAATTCAGAATGTAGTTGGATACGAGTCTTGTCTCTATTTCCGAAAATGGTCCAATCCCAATGTAGTTCTCGTGTGTAGCGTCAAAGCTACCACCACTAACTGAAAATAAAGATTGTTAAAAAAAAATGAAATTGTACTCGTATCGACAGGCCCGCCATCGATATATCGGGAAATCATATGTAATATGGTCACGGTAAATAGCTATGGAAAGTATCCAAAATAAGGAAATTAAATTACATTCCATTATAAAAAAAACAGTTTGTCTGTCAGACTAATCACCTGATCAGAGGTGATTAGTTCCCTATAAACTACTCGCTACTCGCCCCGGCTTCGTACGGGTGTACATGTATTATATATATAAACCTTCCTCTTGAACCACTCTATCTATTAAAAATCTGTTGTGTAGTTTTTAAGATTTAAGCATAAATAGAGACGGACTGACAGCGACAGCGACTTTGTTTTACACTATGTAGTGGTGTAAATAATAATAAAATACTAACTTCCCCAATTCGAGTTCCAATTCTTGGTGAGATCCACACCGTCTGGTACCATATTGTCTCGTCTCCTGTTCTTTAGCCATAGTCTATCCTATAACAATAAATGAACAAAAGAATGTTTAATAAAATGTAATTTAACATTTTTTAAATTAGTTTTTAATAGAAAAAATATTATTAATTGTGTTTTAAAGTTTTCCTTAAATATATAAAACAAACCTTTTTTTAGGTTTATATTCCTTTTGTCACGACCTATTTTCGATTAGGATTGTTGGGAGAATTAATATTCCTTGTAATGTGAAATAAAAAATAAAACGTGTCGTCACTCAATTGTCAATTAGTCACAATGAGCTGTTCCTTTTGACTCACTTAGAGAACTGTCGATGATTCCGATCTCATAAGCAGTATCGAGCCCTTTTGTTTGAGGCCAGACTTCCTACATTCTATTTGTACTTCACAACTAAACGGATGAAGGGTTTTTTGCTGTGGCTGATTATAAATTGGTGATCCAAGTGCCCTAAAGGTCCTGCCTCGGGGCAATAGTGAAGGATGAAGATGAAGTCATGCCAGACAACTAGTGATCATTTAACCAGGAATTAACCGCAATGGTTTCCTTAGTATACGTGGAGTGGAGTTCGATTTCACTGAGCACATTACTAGCAATGGAGCCGCTAATCTCCATTAATACCACACCATAGACCTCGACCCTCTTAAATAGACGGTCTCGGTGGTCTAACGTTTAGCATACCGCTTTACTTCCGTTGGTCGCGGGTTCGATTCCTCGCACGGTACAAACGTTCTATTCATGAGTATGATTGTTTGTATCGATCTGGGTGTTTTCTATGTACTTATAAAAAAAAAAATCTAAGTATTTATATCAGTTGTTGAGCACTCATAACACAAGTTCTGCTTACCGTGGGACTAGATGGCGATGTTTTAATTGTCCAGGTTTATTATTATAGGTGTGTATATAACTTACTCAATACTCAATATTTATTTTATTATTATGAAAGATGTGTGTATATAACAAATATAACATTATTATTCTATGAAGGTACTTACAACAGTTTGCGAGTAATCGAATCCATCAGGGTTGATTACAGGTATGATATGCCATTCGAACTGTTCTGTTGCAGCACGAGCCTCAGGATCTTCAGCTTCGAATAATTCCTTTACGATATATGTCAGAATCGTTGGTGATAAGCAGTCGGCGCCAATTTCTCCACCAGTCAGCACAAACGTACGAGTTGGGGAACCTCTAGATATTCTAATGCCGTTGATATCTCTACCTGAAAATAATATATTCATTCCAGTAACGACCTGGATGGCTTCAATAGTGTAGTGGTTCGCATACCGCCTTACCGATAGTCGCGGGTTAGATTCCTTTTACAGTACAAATATTTCTATTCATGTGTATGATTGTTTGTATCGGCCTGGATGTTTGCTATATATAATATGTATGTTTTTACGAAAAAAATATATATCTATTTGTATCAATTATCTAGTACCCATAACACAACTTTTTATTACAATACTCATTTATTACAAATAATTTTTCAAAAGAGCAAGTGTCTTATTAATTATTTTTGTGATGAGATAGCTTATCGAATAAGTTTTAGATTCAATAAATAAATATGGAAACATCAAAACTACTTAAATATAAGAATAAATATTTCATGTCTATTTGATATAGGTAACGGTTGTCACTCAGCACCAGATGGAATATCTTCTACAAAAAATTTATTTCTCTCTGCCTATACTACCTGGTACGTGGCGTGAATATATTTATAAATACCTTCAAAACTTTTTCCAATGGTAAACATGTTGGCAACTGCGCTATTATTCCGACTTAAGTAACTAAAATACTGGTTGATTTGATTCACTGTTAGACATGCGTCAAAATATATTTCACCATCATTTATGTTGCGCCGCTTTCTTTTAGGTACTTCTGCGTTTATTATTCTGAAAATTATTATAGACGATATTTAGTACATCATTACATATACTGTAATATGTATATATATTTTGAAGCGGTTTTTTTAATAGAAGTGATGCGATATGTATATATAATTAATTTGTATATATAGTGGAAAGGTTATATATAGAAGTTATATATGTATATGTGGTTGGGCTTCCTAAAACATGGTCGAGCGCAGTGATGGCTGGCTCATTCGTCATACACGTGAACGACTGCTGCTTATAGGTACTGGTCTGTTCTTATCACTACGACTGAATTAATCTTATTGTATTATTTATATTTGAGTCTAATAAATTAGTGCTAGTTGGTAGTTTGTATTCCTATTTTTTGACTTGAAAAATGTAAACTTACAAGGATTATTTAAAAGAGCAACACATAAGTTCCTTCCTCGTTCTTCTTGCGATGAAATAGCTTTCCGAATAAGCGGTAGAATAAAAAAATTGTTATGACTATTCAAAAGTACTTAAATTGGGTTTATTTGAATAAAGGATTTTCTATTCTATTCTGTATAATATCACAAGAAGAATAAACAAATTTATTGCTTGTTCTTCTGGTGATGGCTGTGCTTTCCGAATGAACGATAATCAAAAAAATATTCTATGACTGCAAAATTGATTATATTAAGTGTATTTGCAATAAATATGATTTCCATTATTTTCTAGTACAATCCTATAAAGCAGAAGTACAAATTAGATAGTGTCATTGTGATAATGCATAGCTATCAATAGACAAACAGATAGGTCATAATTATCTTTATATTATATCTCACACATAGTTTTGACTTCGTACGGTTGTTCATTTGTAAAATGATGTTGGTACTTTTCCTGATAATAATATAGGAAACTCTATGCTTCAATTAATTGATTTCTAAGCATCGCATTTAAGCACAAAATTAACTATTATATTATTTTGTTTCATGTTACTTTAGGCTATGTTGACTCATATTTAAATTAAATCCTAATTCCTACAGTCGTTTTTATATGAAACTTTAACACACAAATAATGAGTTTCCCATTTAAAATTGAATGAAATATAGTTCTTTTCTTATATGCTTATAGAAGGTTGTACTTACTAAACCAATTCAAACAGATTTATTATGAATATATACTGAGCTATATTTTGTGTACCATCGGCGTGGGTACCTCTGTCTCACCTATTTTAGCAGCTAAACACCTTGCTTTGTAATCTGTGTTTAAAGGTTGAGAAATATAGTGTATGGAGGTATGAATTTTCCTCTGGAATGACAAATAGTGCTTCTTTATCAAACGGTTACCACTTACTATCAGATAGCCGGTTAACTTGTTTGCTATTCGAATTATATAAAAACAGTAAACCATATCGTCGAAATGAAAAATATTATATATTGCTAGCTTTTGCCCGCGACTTCGCTCGCGTTAATTTCAAATCAAAATCCTTTCTTAGGGGATGCCTACGTCATAGTAGCTTTATGCATGCAAAGTCTCAGCCCGATCGGTTTAAAATTGACAAAGTTTCATACAAACTTTCATCCCCTATTTTATCCCCTTGGGGGTAGAATTAATCTAAATTCTTTCTTAGCGGATGCCTACGTCATAACATCTACCTGCATGCCAAATTTCAACCCGATCCGTCCAGTGGTCTGGGCTGTGCGTTGATAGATCACTATGTCAGCCAGTCACCTTTGAGCTATATATATTTAGAAAACAAATACTAAAAATGTAAAAAAATGCTTACTCTTGTACATTGTTGGATGTCATCTCAAATACAATGCCCTTCCTTGAGAGAGAATCTTCAAAGTTACTCCTCACATCTGGTGGCACAATGACAACAACTTCACCTCCAACTTGTGACGGTTCAGACCAAAATCTCAATCCATCTGGTTTTTTGTATAATTCTCTAAGATATTCTACATCATTAGTATTCTGTGGTACAATATTGTACATACCATAATTACTATAGTCTACTTTCTCTGCCCCTACCAAAAGTACTGCACTTAGTATTAATAATTTTAGTAACATTTTGTTTACCAATTAAATTTACCCGCACTTGTCATGAAGGTGATTGTATATGACTATGATAGCAATGTAAATTTTGTATATATCTATTATCGACGGCAATTATCAAAAAATATATATGAAGGACAGCGATAACGAACTATGAAATGTCTATTTAGACATTTATTGTAGTGTATTTATACAGTCAGTCATCTAATCTATGATAAGTTTGTCAATTTTTTTATGTAGATATATGGTGTAGTAAAACCTTACACAAGTTTAAATAAAATGAACAAAATCTAGAAACAAAATAAAATCATTACAATTATGCTTGTTTACGTTTAGACGTAAATATTTTGCACATTGGTTTTAATGTCTTCTTTAACAGTTTTATAATTGTCATATACATGTATATTATTAAAAAATGGTAAACACATGTAAGAATATTCTCACTCTTTCACGTAACATTGAAACAATGAGAATATTCGTTCTTACATTACACGTGTTTACAATTTTTATTCGTTGTTTCATTCATCTCGCATATACAGTCCACTCATTCTATAACGCATTAACTGATTTAATGTGACACTTTTATAGCAAAGCAAGCTTCTATTTGTTTAAATTGGTTTCTCTTTACAGAACTTGTTTTTTTAGCATTAAAAATATATTCTGGAGTACTCATTTTAGTATATGAGTACGCCAGAATAATATATGTACCTATGTGAACTAAGTACACTGATCAGGCTGCCAAGGATCTTGTATTTACTTGACCTTTGCAAATTAACCGATTAGAAACCAAATTACTCCCAGAGACGGAGGTAGGTCGGCCCCGGGTTATATTGGATTCATTGTATTGTGCAAAATATGGGAATGCCAAGAGTTGCATCCACCACTATATTAACCCCTGTCTATCTCATTTGGTATAACAACCATGAATGTGTTACATATTATATTTATAAAATAAAATGCACAAAAACTCGTTTACACTCATCCCTGATTTTAACCGTCGAACGTCCAAAAAGCGTAGCGCAGCGTTAATTTGCGTCGCAAAATAAAATACCACCGAACCTCACCTGTCAAAATGTCAACAGTTAAAAATGAACTGCAAAGTGGCCTCTCTGCAGCCCGGCTAATTACCTAGTGGCAATCAATCTTGTAAATGTGCCGAACAAATTGTGATTGAGGCCGCTAACCAGCGGAGGCTTTATCAAAGCACATTAACAAATTTATGATCAGCCAAAATGAAATTTTGACCTATTTTATGGGTAGGCATTTTATATTAAACTAGTTTCATGCGCCTGCTTTATATGTGTGTGTTAATGAAACCAAAACTTTCAATTTCAGTACGGTCATGAAATATATAAAACTATATATACTATACAACTATGATATTTTTAGTAGTATATTGTATAATACGTACCTACCTAGGTGGACTTTGTACGAAATCGTTTGCTTGTTCATATTTGTACTAGCCGCCAAGCAACTTGCTTTATAATCTGTGATCGGTGTTTTAATTGAAAGGTCAGGTATGGAAGTGAATTTACAGGATTCACGATTTCCAGAAATTCTACAGAGTCTACAGTATTACGCAGTCACCAGAACGCTGACTGAACTGAATGGAACGAGGACGCTGTGACGTCAGAAGTGCCCTCATGCGTTGGCATCTCTGGCATCACAGCTCACTATGAAGACCATGTTGCTATTGATGTTACTGATCAGGCGGCCATTATCGTGCAGTCCATCAGCTTATTTGCTATTCCAGATACATAAAAAAGTTTCTATTTAGCAGTAATATGCATTAACTAAAAATGTAAGAAAACATCAATTCAGTAATTCATTTATATGGAGTTTCACAAAAACCTAAACACACTTTATATTTAAAAGCACATACATGTAATACAGAGTCATTATCACGATTTTTTCCATGTCATTCGTTGCGTTGCACACGGACGACCGGCGTGGGCATCGCTAATTGTGATTAATGGTGCTTTGGTCGCGACGTCGTTTGTCTTGCGACTCCCATCGCGACAGACAGTTTACTTTTCACTCTGCGGCTAGAGAGCGTTGCAGACGCGCGATTTTCTTGACTGACCTGTTATTACTAGACACATCGTATACTATCTGATGAATATGGTATGAATCAGCTTGTTTTGTCTGCTGTGTTTGTTGTGAAGGGAAAGATATGGTAAAATTAAATTGTAGGTACGACAATGTAGTTCTTAGGAATTATACCGTGGTTCTGTTTTAATGTATTCAGTGAAGACCGATTATATTTATATATATTTAAATAAAATATGGTTCTGTTTTAGTGTATAGATAATGGTTGTCATTTTCCACCAGGATGATACATGCCTAGTTATCTTAGATCGTTGACAAGTTACGTGTCCACTCTCTGCAGTCTTTTTTAATTAAGCGTTCTGTCGTTGCATTAGCACCGACGAAGTCTTAGGTAATAGGTGTTTTTTTAGAATATTACAGTTAGACACTTATAATAGTTACAATATCGATATTACAGTACCTATAACTAAAACCAGTAATATGTAACTTATAACTTAAATTATTGTATTATCGTATGATGAACAGAGTCTAAAAAATCATATACACCGTTTGAAAGAATAAATAAAAACTAAATCTTATTTTAAAATATATATACTACGTTTAGTTTACCACTACGTGATGCCGGTGCTGCTGTTGATGTACAGAGGCGACGGTTGCCACTTAACACGCGGCGACAATTAGTCGCTCGTCTGTGTTGCAGACCATCAGAACTAAATTCGCTATTTAAATCCCATAATTATTGCGCACCGCAGCATTCAATGTCTAAATCCAAGCTAATGTTATTCGTATACGCAATTAATGCACCGAAACATTTCAAGCTAAATTTGTACTGCAGTGATTTTGTGGTTTTGTTTAGTACGCTGTGGGTTGAGCGGCTATCACCGTTTGTATGCGCATTATAAACTTGTTTTTCACGTGAGGCGCTTAGACGTTTGATAAGCTCTGTTTTTAATTTATCATATTTTTCAGTGGAAGGTGGGGAGATAATAAAACTCAGAGGAAATTCGTCCGGCCAGAAAGGAGGAACCATCCGAATTCAGAAGCGTATTTTCCAGATTTGTTTATTAGTAAGTCCTCGTGGATTGAGAATATGGCCTATGAAGATAAGTTATAAACGTTTGTTGCTGCCATTGCTAGCTGTTGGCGACAGACCATGTTTTCATATACAATTTTTGACTTTTATATTTTTTGTTTAATTTAGTGGGAATTAGGATGACTATAAACTCAATAAATAAAAACTAAATCTTATTTTAAAATATCCTAAAATCACTGGGATTTAAGCGCGATGGTTTCCAGCAGGAACCGCGTGGAAGTCGTATACGCAATTAATCTCTAAAAAATTTTGTGGTTTTGGTATATCTGTCAAATCAGTCCTCGTGGATTGAGAATATGGCCTATGAAGATAAGTTATAAACGTTTGTTGCTGCCATTGCTAGCTGTTGGCGACAGACCATGTTTTCATATACAATTTTTGACTTTTATATTTTTTGTTTAATTTAGTGGGAATTAGGATGACTATAAACTCAGGTCGTCCTAAAATCCGGATTGTTGGAAGTCAATCCGGCTGGAAACAGCTGAATGTCTTTTGGAAACAGCAGAATGATTGAATGTTTTTTACGTTCAATAAATTACTCCTGAATCCTTTGAATAGGTAATACATATATCTGACACAACTGTAGAATTAAACAAAAAATATAAATGTCAAAAATTGTATATGATGTAATCGTTAGCGTAGCGTATGTATCGATATTCATCCTTAGAAAAAATAAACATTGAAAAATATAGTATTAAAATTGTAGGTAAAGGACAAACAGCTCATTTTTTATTTTCAATGTTATGTACTTTCTAACAATATACAAATACATCTACTTTCATGCCTATCAGATTTTTTTGTGGAATATATTAAAAACTAGCGATCTGTAAGTATTTAATCAAATAACCGGCTTCTGAGAATAAGGTAGGAGGAAAGATTTTATTAAAATTTTCTTTCCCCAAGAAAGCGTCCATAGTTCTCAATATTTATGAGAGATAACAAACTCCAAGTTTCATTCGAGTTGACTAAATTGAATTTTTATTTTTTACCAACCTCTTTAATAAGCTAGACTTCGTAAAAAGGGTCACACCTATTCCAGCCGGAAGGCAATAATGGAAATTATAATATTGGGTACTACTAGGGAATAAACACTATTCGAGCTTGCGTGTAATAGCTTAGACCGCATCTTCACTTTACATCAGGTGGGATTGCGCTGTAAGTGAGAGTGAGATCAAACTTAGTAATAATAAAGCTTCCTTTAGAACTGTATTTCGGTTGGATGGTAAGATAAAGCAGGGAAATTACGGAGAGAGGATAAGAGGCATGTCATCTTAGTCCTGCGGAATGACAACGTATGAGTGGTAACGTGATAACATCCTTGATCCCGTACTTGTATATAGGCGATAATTACCACTTACGGTCAGATGGACTGACAGCTTGTTTACTATATATATTCTAATAAGAAAGAACTGCATATAATAATAATAATCTTAGGACAATTCACACAGCGCCATCTAGACCCAAGTTAAGCTAGCTAAAGCTTGTGTTATGGGTACTAGATACCTGATACAAATACATAGATTTTTTTTTTTTTTGTAAATACATACATATTATATATAGAAAACACCCAGACCGATACAAACAATCATACTCATGAATACAAATGTTTGTGCCGTGCGAGGAATCGAACCCGCGACCATCGGTCGTAAAGCGGTGTACTAGACCACTGGACCACCGAGATCGTCTTATATATGTTCCACTACATACAGTTATGACAAATGTGATCAAAACTACAGCCCGAATACAACTCCCACACTGCTGTTTCGTAAAAATTGAAGGAAAATCCAACGTACAATATATTGTATTTTTATTTCAATGCAGCAGTATTGAACCTATATGATGGTAGGTACTAGTAGAAGCGAACATTAATGTA